TTTTTTCGTACCGGGGATTGAACTTGGATCCTTGCGCTTGTGAGGCAGGCCACCAAACCGCTGAGTTAAATCCCTGGCCCTTTTTAATTTAAATTTTTAAATTTTATTTTAGCAGTTGAAAGCTTACAGTAGGAATATAGCCAGTAAGATAGCCATTGTCAAATTAGCATTTAGGATTTTCCATTTTATTGTTAGATTTAAGTGCCATGATACCAAGATTAATGGATGGATGATGCCTAGCTTCTTGAACTTTATATACTGGACTTCTATTGTTACTACATTTGCCCATCAAATACTTCTCTGTCTATTCCAGAATCTTAGCCTGAAATGCATAGCTGGTCTTATTTCTAAGCTTTAAGGAGGGTGCCAGAAAAATGCTTATGAATTGTCATCTGTCCTCTGATAACTATCTGGTTGTGATCTCAGTATATTTTGCCCTTATGGTCTCTTAAATTTTACATATTAAGTACTCTGTCATGGAAAACTTTCCCGACTGGTGCTTGTGTTACTTTTTCATCGAGCAGTTGTGCACCATCAGAAGGCAAGCATAGTTTGTTGGGATTTCTGAGTGGAAAGGAATTGATCTTGGGGATTTAACCTTAGAATTGGAAAGTGGGAAATAGAAAAATGTATATCAGTGTTGAAAGTTTAAAATTGTGCAGAAGAGGATGTTCTCAGTGGGTTATAACTGTAAGATAAAGTGTACTGGTTAGACAAAGTATTGAGGCTAATATTGAGATAAGACTCTTTTGAGACTATCCTACAGTGGAATGATTGGAAAAGAAATGACAGTATGCAGTAAGAGTACAATTAGTAACTTTTAAAAATGAAGGAAAATGTAATTGTATATGCCCTGTCAAATATTTTTACCCTACAGATTTTAGTTATGTAGACTACTACTGCCAAGTTTATGTTTCATATAAGAAAGTTCTTAGATGCTGGAATTTTCATTACTATTAACTTTATTTTTACTTTTTAAAAGATTGATTGTATATCCTCCACCACCTACTAAAGGAGGACTAGGAGTAACTAATGAAGATCTGGAATGTTTAGAAGAAGGAGAGTTTCTTAATGATGTAATCATTGATTTTTACCTCAAGTACGTATAATGATGTTATCTTCTTATTTCTCTTATAGTTTTACTGTGAAACTTTTAAAATGTCTGAGTTATTTTACCTCTAGTTAAAATTAACCTACCAAGATTTCAAATATGGAAAATTTTTTGTTCACCAAAATTTCATTAAAGTTTAACTAACTCAATTTCAGTTGTTTCTTTGCATCTCATGGATACTATGTATGTTAGCAGAGCTACTGCTTTTTTGTTTGCTCTACTTTGTATATGTTGTTTTTTTAATTTTACTTCTTTGACTACTGTATTATAATGGTAAAGCAAGTACTTACAGTCATAGTTGGTACTCAACTGCTTTGAAACTAGTCAGATTCAGTGTGTTTTGACATGAAAATTTTGTCCCAGGCTTTGTTCTTTGTTTGGTACTCAACACACAAGATAGAACTTGTTGAGTTTTTTTTTTGTTTGTTTGTTTTGTTTTTTTGAGACAGGGTCTCACTATGTAGTTGAGACTGACCTGGAACTCACTATGTAGTCCAGGCTGATTTTGAACTCATAGAGATCCTCCTGCCTCAGCCTCCAGAGTGCTGGGATTACAGGCGTGAGCCACCACACCCGGCCAGAACTGGTTGGTTTTGATTGCCTCAAGATTTACTGCCCTTTCCAGCTCAGACAATTTGTTTGGTATTTTTTGTGCCTTCTAGAACTAATTAACGAGTACAGAGGTACCATCCTACATTATTATAAAGCACTTTGGGAACTGAAATGAGGCAATTCTATTCAGTTATCTATTGTATCTTTAAGCACAATAAAAGTTAGCTGTCATTTAAAAAAATCTGCATCACAATTCCATTAGTTTTTTTTAATTTGTTGAATAGCAGAAGCTGAAGGGACAGATATGCAAGATTTTAAAATAAAAGGCTTAATTTTGTATTGCATCCCTAGAGCTAACTTTCTAACACTTAAGATATCTCCTAATTACTTTTCAGATCCTTCCCAAATTAAATTTACTGTCATCTTACCTAAACCCTATTGTTTTACTGATACATTATTTTTATTCCAGCTGAAATAGCTCAGAATCTCCGTGATCATTTATATTTACAGAAAGTGTAGATTTTAATCTTCTGAAATTTAATTTGGGTCTTTTTTGTATCCTTTCTAAGTTTTTGAATGTATGGAATATAGTTATCATAACTATTTTAATGTCCTTTTCTTAGTCTAACATCTGTATCAATTCTGGGTTGTCTTCACTTGACTGATTTTTCTCTTCCATTACGAGTCATATGTTTTTGACTTCTTTGCATCTGGTAATTTTTTATTAGGTGTTAGAATTTTAAAATTTATATTATTTTTGCTTTAATTTTGTTCTGGGACACAGGCCAGTTATATGAACACAGTTTAATGTTCTCAAGTGCTTCCCCCCCGCTTTCCAGTACAGGGAATTGAACTCAGGACCTTGCACTTACCAAGCAGGTGTGGTGCTGCTGAGCTACATCCCTAGCCATCAAGTGTCTTATTTTTTATTTATTTTTTGGTACCGGGGATTGAACTCAGGCCCTTGTGCTTGAGAGGCAGGTGGCGGAACCACTGATCCAAATCCCTGGCCCCAAGTGTCTTATTTTTAAGATTTGTTAATAAGACTAACAAATTAATTCCCACTATGGGGAAGTACTGAGTACTTCTGAGTACTCCATCCATTGTCATATGAATTACAAGGCTTTCCAGTCTGACTACTAGGAATAGATATCATTCCTTATGTGTGGATGTTGGATTTCATTCCCACTAATCATTTTGGGTAGTTCTTTCCCCAGCTTGGTTACATACTTCACACACACACAGAGTGGTTAGTACTCTACTAAATATTTGAGAAAGATTCTTTCTGTAGATGTCTGAGGTTCTCTTCAGTCTGAAGAGATACTTAGCTCTTGCCCGTATTATGGTTAGTAAACCCTAGGTACTAAGTTTTCTTTTTTTTTTTTAAACAAGCAATTGCAAAGTCATTTTGAAACCTGAATAAACTATTAAGAAAACTCCTGAATTATGAGGTGTTTAATCACTAAATTATTTAATTATAAGGTTATGTTGAAGAATTGTTTTAGTATTAAAATAGATTAAGAAATTAGAGATTCATCATATTTAAATTACTAAAAACAGTCTAGATTTATTTGGGAACATCACAGTTTCAGTCTTACATTTGTTTATGTGATTATTTACTTCTCTCTTCCCTTACTTGAATTGTGAGTTCAATTTGCCCCACCCCTGTTTTGTGTCTCTAGTGTAGAAGTGGTGTTTGGTATGTTAGAAATTTGATAAATATATGTTATTTAAATGAATGAATAGGCAATTTCTACTTTAAATTATCTTGATGGGAACAAACTGAAAGCTGAAATAAGAGAAAAGATTGCTTTGAATCTAATTGTATATACATCAGTGGTTTCCAGAACAAATAAGATAGTTGGAGAAAGCCAGGTAAAACTTAAAAATAACTTACTATTTTGGGATTGCTACCTTATAGGTATCTTATATTGGAGAAGGCATCAGATGAACTTGTTGAACGAAGTCACATTTTTAGTAGCTTTTTCTATAAATGCTTGACAAGAAAGGAGAATAATTTAACAGAAGATAATCCAGATCTTTCGTAAGTCAATTCTCTGATGTACTTAAGTTTTAAGAGAAAGTAACAAAACAGAGGAACTGCACTATTTTAGTAAAGTGGCTTCTTTTTGGTATTACCTAGAGTGGGAAGAATTGCCACTTATGCAAGTCCTGGGCCTCTTTGCTGTGAGAGTCTTTGCTACCCTTTCACTGTTGTGCTTCCTGTGACAAGGAGGCTGACTCTTACAGGCTGCATTTCTAGATGCATGTCTTGTATGACACTAAAAGTAGGAGGGCAAAGAATTAAATGGCCAAGCTGGTTTTTTTCCCCTCTTTTTGTCTTGAGCCATGATTTTTTTTTTTTTTTTTAAGAGAATGTATTTCCTCTGAGTGCATGTCCCACTAGATAGATCTGCTAGATTTCCAGTTTTCATCTGGCGGAGATACCTTTGCTCTCTACCTTATATGTACAACAGTTTCCTACTTTGTTAATCTTTGGTTGCTTCACTGCCTTTTTGTTGGTTTGTTTTGCTTTGTACTTTTTCTTTAACCACTGTAGTCCACATACATTATATACTATCTGTAATAAAGATGTTGAGTTTGTTTGCCTGTTTAGGTCCCTGACATGCTACTATTTAAACAGATATAACATTATGTGAAATACCATATTTGTTTGCACAATTTAGCTGAATTTCTGCCCAAGTATATTTTGAGTAACATTAAAAACTATGGAGAAGTATTTTGGGATAGGTGAAAGGAGGGAGTTACTTCTTAGACAGTAGTAACTCAGATGATTGCTGCAGCATAGTGCTTTCACCCTTTACCCATGCCTACAGTTTGCTTTATAATGCTTTGAGTAGTCTCATAAAGAATTTATACATACATACACACACACACACACACACACACACACACACATTTTTGTTTCGTTTTTTTGAAACAGGGACTCACTGTGTAGTTGAGACTGAACTGGAACTTACTGTGTAGTCCAGGTTTTTCTCGAACTTACAATGGTCCTCCTGCCTCAGCCTCCTGAGTGCTGAGATTACAGGCATGCGTCACCATGCCTGGCAAGAATTTACATTTTTTTAAAAAGCTAATATAGACATTTATCTGTAGTTTACAAGGTACACTTATGTACCTTATTTCATTTTTTTCCTTTTATAACAGTGCTTTTAGATAAATAGGACATGTAAATTATATCTTACCTTTTTTAGATGGGGAAGCAGACTAATAAAGTTTAAATAATTTGACTATAGGCAAACAACTAGTGAGTGACATAACTAGATAGTACTTAAATCCTAATTGTTTAATGTCTAGTGTTTTCAGTGTATTAGGCTTGCCTTAAAAATGGCTGTGAGAGTTTGTTTCATCCCATTAAAACAACAACAGCAATAATGATGATTATTACATAGGTAAGTTGGTTGAATTTTTTATAATTTTGGAGAAAGAGAGTGGGAATAGGGAGAGAACTAGGGAGAGAAGAACAGATGGATCTATTAATTAGTTGAAGTGATGGGCTGGGGATTTAGCTCAGTGGTTCCACTGCCTGCCTTGCAAGCACAAGGACCCAAGTTTGATCCTTGGTACAAAAAAAAAAGTTACAGTGAGCAACAAGTGGAACTGTCACTTACAAATTTGGATATATAGTCAACCTTAATTTGAATGTCTTTATTGGTCTGGAACTTATGCTGATGGATAAGGCCTGCCAGGATCAGTTAAAGAGAAAATTATGGCCACCCCCTGGCAGTCAGTAAGCTCAAGAGGACCCTAATAATGTCCCTGCTCAGCTCAAAGTAGTTACAGATGTGACCACTTCAACCTTTGTCAGTGATTTGAGTTTGCTGTTATGTTGGAGGGAGAATGTCATAGCTTTCCCTGGAGAACAAAAGGGTTAAAACTTCTAACAGCCAAACTCAAGTTGAAGCCACCCTGCAACAAAAGAACTCCAGTTAAAGACATCCCTGATTTTGACAGGTGATAATAATACAGCAATGAACCTTTTGATTTAAGACCTGTTTATTCCACCCAAGGAGTCCTGACCTAACTTCTCTAAAAAAACTGTTTATATATAGACTGCCTACCACTCTCTTAAGTAAAGCTAAAAGTCTTCTGCAAGCCAGAGGAAAATAATCTTGCAATATTGCAACTCTAAACATATCATTTTTAAAAATACAAGTGTTCCCAAAGAGCTACAAGGTACTGCATGATCCAGGAAAATTTATTATGTACTACAAACATGTACTAAGAAAAGAAAAAGATCCAGGAAAAGACATTCTTCAGATAATCACATTTGCTGCCTATGTCCCCTTTTCATGCCCTCAAACTCATAAAAAAAACTCCAGTCGCTCATCCTGACTATAGGATTTTTGTCTTGGAAAGTCACCCACTGTCCCCCTTGACAGCATACTGTGATCTAAATAAACTCTTGTGTTTTCTTGGGGGGGTGGAGAGGGAGAGAGAGAGAGACAGACAGAGTGAATCACAGTTTAAACATGGTAATTGAGGTTAGGAGAGGACATATAAAAAGAGAATATTTATTAAATAAATTTGATATTTAACATTTTTGATACTTATAATGAGATGCCACAAAGAGCTTATAATGAGAAACAGAAAATAAATAAACAAGCAAATGCCATAATTACAGAGATAGTGTAGTGAAACAAGAAAATGCCAGAATTTTCTTTTTCTCATTATAAGCTCTCTATGAGGTCAAATACTTCATCTTTCTCATTTCCATTTTATCTCTAGTGCCTTACTACTCAGTGTTTGGAACATGGTAGGGACTCAGTACAAGATTGTAATAATGTCTGTTACTGAATACCAAGAGAACTGTTAAGATATTATGTATGTGTGTGTGTGTGTGTGTGTGTGTATATATATATATATATATATATATATATATATATATATATATATATGTATGTATGTATGAATGAATGTATGATTTGGTTTTTTGAGACAAGGTCTCCCTATGTAGTTTAGCCTGGCCTTGAACTCACTGTGTAGCCCAGGCAGGCCTTGAACTTGAAAGAGTCCTTTTGCTTCATCCTCGTGAGTGCTAGACTTACAGGCATGTGCCACCATGCCCAGCAAAAACTGTTAGGATATTTAATTAAGGATTTTGTACTCAGTTAAGAATTGAGAAGAAGGTATATGTGGCCCTCATGTTTTCTGCCTTCCCTGCATCACTCTATATCTAACATATTAGTAAATAAGATTGTCACCAGACAGGCTCTGAGAAAGTTCCCAAAGCTGAGATATGGAACCAAGCCTGCTCTAAGCATATGATGGGTTGGATCACTGACTCTTGTGGAAAAAGAAATTTCCGAATGTGTTAGTAAGAGACACAGGAAAGGTTTATTAGTCAAATTTAAATACATTATCAAGAGTGTGGGACTCAGGGAAATAAGGCACATTATTTTCTGGAATGAGAAACTTTTATGCTTCTCTTGACATGGAAACTCCAGGTAAAGGTAGCCTCTGCCTTACCCTCCTGAATTGTAACAACCCATATGGCAGGTATGAGCCCAGTTGTTTTGTTTTGTTATTTTTGGAAAGGTAATTTAAACATTCTCTAGATTGTCTAAACCTTTTCCTCTATTGGAGGACCAGGTTCCTGCTCTTTACTTTCTCACTTAAGCCAGTTTATGGGATTTAAATATTCCTGTGGAATTTTGAGTGTACACACACACACACACACACACACACACACACACACATCTGGAAGGGAAGGACCTAAATTTCACCAAGAGAATGCTGATATGGATCTCCTTGGGTAACTTCAGTGGAGGCCCAGAAGTTGCAGTCTTCTTAAAAGTACAATTTTTTGTCATGATTTCTTTGTCTCTTTTCTACCTATTTTTCTTCTATCCTACCTCAATATTAGCATAATTGGGAAGCCTACCAAACACTAACAAAATGAAAGAAACAATACAGTATCGATCCTTAAGATTCTCAATAGAAAATAAGTTCATAGTCTGCAGTCATTGAAAATAGTTGTTTTTAATTCTTAAGATTGGGTCATTCTAAAATGAGAAAATTCAATAAACATTTGACTTTTGATTATGTGTAATAGCTAATCTTTCACATGATGTCTAAACTCTGTCACATCTTTTTTACCCATTCTGGATTCTTTCTCACTTCTAATGTTTATCCCATGTGGTTTTAGTTAGATATTATTCAGATAAACAAGAAAGGGACAAAGGGGTCTGTTTCCTGGCATATAAAAAGACTTCTTCCAAGGCACTGAGCCAGGAGTCATGCTACCTCCTTTATGCCCCAGTTAAATGTCATTTTCTTTCT